CTGTCCGTTGTATCGGACTCGTAAGTAGCAAATTATTTTCAATTATAACTCGAAAACTAAGCTTCAGACAAAATTTTGTAAAAGGAAAAATCGTCTCAGAATTCGCTCAAGAATATGGCATTGCAAGGACATCAGGTTATTTTGAATCACCCTGTATACTTATATATATATGTATATACATAAAACACATGACGTAATAAAAGTATCTTACAATAAAGAATAAGACAAGCCAGAGGCGATCTAACGTGTGCTGGCGATGTAGAAATAGAAAAACCAGAGGCGATCTAACGTGTGCTGGCGATGTAGAATTAGAAAAGTCAGTGGCGGCCTATCATGAGCTGACAATTTTTAATAAATACAATCAGAGACGATCTAACGTCAACTGACAGTTTAGAAAAAAGAGAGCCAAAGACGATTTATTCTTGAGCTGGCAAATTGTAAGAAATATTGTCAGAGGCGATCTATCATGAGCTTGCAGATTTTAAGAAATACGTATTTCTAAGTTTGTCATTTACTACAAGTGTGGTCTTTTAATGTTTTATCGGATAATTTATAAAGTCATTTCATCTTTTTTCTCGCAATCGAAATTCCATCGTATGGCTGTATGATGTACATACGAGACGAAATAGACTTATACAAGGTGTCTAATAGATATAAATTAGATATGATAAAATATTTTATTTGAAAAATGTATATATAATACTATATATCTAATTGGAAAAAAATATTATATGCTTTCTCTATTTTTATTCTTATGTAATTAATACAAAATAAATAAATAAGTTAATTAATTATTTAATACATACATATACATATTGAATATAGTTATCTTTATTTTATATTTTATATAATGACCGAAATGATATATACTCTCATTATTTCAGTCATTATCATATAAAATACAAAATAGAGATAACTATTTATTCAATATATGTGTATATGTATATATTAATTAATTGATTAATTAGCTATTTTGTATTTACTACATAAAGATAAAAATAAGAAAAATATATGACATTTATCTTCAGTGATATATATAGTATTATATTTTTAATTTATTATTTTGTCATATTTAATTCATATTTATTTGACACCTTGTATACGCCTATGTCTTCTCGGACATTATATTGCAGCCTTGCGACGAAATTTCAGTTGAGGAAACAAGCGCAAGCATCGTTTGTTTACAAACTATCCGATCACACGTACACAGACCACACGTTAGTGTAGTGAGTTACCACTACAAACAAATGCGTACACACGGACCTACGTGGCATAGGTTCGTAGGCTACGCCGATAATGTCATTTCATTTTTAGTACCATCGAAATGATGGCGCTTTTGCGTCGGAGTTCGGCTTCCACTCCAGCATCCTCTTAAATCATAAGATTAATAAGTTTATGATTGCCAAATTATGTTGCTAAATGATTACCAAAAGGAATCGAGGCCTCCAAGGTAATTTGTTATTAGGACGCTGACGCGAGCACTCGTTCTTAGAAGACCGAATATTACTTGCGCCTAAAATAGATTATGTAACACGTTTGGGAAAACAAGTGGACCTGTTGCTAAAACTGTCCTACTGTACTAAAATGCCGATCGGCGTAAATAAACGTGGCAAACAAGGCGCCGCGTCAATTACTTGAAAGTCGTGTAGTGTGCACGACACGTCGGGTTCCGCGTGGAAATCGCTAAATAAAAGTATACAACGCGAAGATTCCGAAATAAAAGTGTCTTTATTGTGCATCTACTCTCTACAATTTATATCTCCTAGTCGACTCTTTGACTAGCGCGGCGAATCCTAAATCCTATTTTGTGCGCTAACCGCTACCATCGAGAGGCGTAACAACGTAAATTTATAATGTCACAACTAAAACAAAACAGTATTGTTTTACTTTTCAAAAAAATTGTCGTATATATTAAACCTTTCAAAAAAACCTGTCATATACGTATTGCTGATGCGTATTGCTTTTTGCCAGTGGACTTTACAAATGTTACACGATAATCCTAATTTTTTTAGGTATGTGGTTTTCTCAGATGAGGCTAAATTTTATAGTGACGGACAACTTAATAGACACAACTGCCATTATTGGTCAGATGTTAATCCCCACTGGTATAGGCCAATAGATCATCAAAATCGATGGAGTATTATGGTGTGGTGCGGCATTGT